GAATATTCTGATGAACAAATGTATAGCTAGTGTGTGATTCATTTCCTCTTCCACAGAAATGTCAGACTCACTACACACACAAGTACATATTTGGTATAAGTACCTAAGTTTGAAGGCTTTAGAAGCTTATAAATTTAAATTACAGGGAGAGAGTTTTATTACAGCTCTTGCCAGTCAAGATGAAGGTGATATTGCATGATGGAGTGAATAAGTGGAGGAGATTGAGTTTGGAGTTTGTTTAATGCCATTTGATTTGTATAAATTTGATTACCCAATATTCCTCTGTGCCATGCACTCTACTAGGCATAAGGGATAAGAATGAGGAAATGACAGCATCCTTGAGTATAGTTTAGTGGGGGCAATAAAGACTAGAAAATGGGGAAAATCTAGTAATGTGATAGGTTCTGTAACAGAGACAAGTGGAAAGTACTTTAACAGTATAGACAGTGGAACCCTAGGGCAGACTGAACTGGTAGAGATAACAGGTAAAGAAGGAGGCACCCAGAAAATCTTTTTATTTAGGTGTCATCTTAGCTTACTTCTAACGGATGTTTTAGAGTTAGTCAGGCCAAGAGGAGAGGCTGGGGAGAAAGAGGAAAGGCATTTCAGTTGTATGGAAGGATCTACTCAAAGGCCAGAAAGGCAGAAGCAATTGGACAATCAATTGTCCAGTGTGGTTGGGCATGGCAGCATGTATCTCCATAGCATCTCAAAATATCTAAAAAAATACCTGATTTTTATTTCATTCTTTGATGACATCTTAGAAATATATGCAAAGTTGATACAACAAGAGAAGACTAACAAAGCACAGACCACAGAGAGCAACTAATCTTGGATCTAAATGAAAAGTTTGAAAAGAAGGCCTGTCTGTGTTTTAGTCCCATCTATCCCATGACCTTCATACATGAACATCTGAAGGTGGGGATGGAAGCTATTTACTTGAACTCCAATACCTATTTAGGCTAGACTATTTCTATTTAAGGATATTAGTTTTGTCTAGATAGTGCCTGAGAGTTTTCCAAACTCCTAATCCATATTTTCTTTTCTTCCATAGTACATAAGAAATACTTCTCATTCATCTTGAAATGTTTTTCCATAGAGTCAGGTTAGCATTTTATTTTTAAATATCTTCTATACAAGTAATTACTGGACTGTTCTAGAACTAATGACTAAAAAGCCTTACATATGTAACAAGTTTACAGGGTAGATGGAGATCTAAGAGTGTTCATTTACTTTATGGATTCTTTTCTTTTCTTTTTTTGTGGGGTGGATGAATGAAGGGCAACCTGGAGTCATATTTAAGAAAAACATGCACACTGAAGGCAGAAATAATGTAGCAATAGAACTATTAGGTTGTGTTTTAGGATCTCAGATTATAGAGCATTATTAAAAGGTTCGATAATCTAGTCTACCCACTTACATTATAAATGAGGAAACTGAGGCTCAGAGTGTTAGCATGACTCTCTATCACAATTAGCTACCTACTCAAGAGCTGGGACTCAGGTTTCCTGATTCCTGATTTTCTGATTAGTGTTTTTTGAAATCTTGCTACCATTTTACCTCTGTTGTTTACATTTTGAAATATTGTATACATCACATATAGAGAACAAAATAAAAAAATCATAGGGCAAAATAATTCTTAACATTAAAGACCTACCAAATATATTTTAATTTTCTGATGGTTCAGTGGAATCTTAGGGTCTTTACAAAGCTTCAGCTGATGTTGTTTTGTCATTGATTATCAATGCATTATAGGTTTAAAAATTACTAGATTAAAAATAAACTGAACTAAATACAATGCCAGATAAAAGAGCATACTGGTTCCACATTAATATAATTAATAGGAATAAGTCTCAGTCTTCTCACACAGATCTATAAAATATGTTTCTTTATATGCACAAACCATCTATAGTTATAGACCTACTCCTAAGGCAAGTAGTTTTGTTGCAGGTGTATGTGATAAGTGGGACTATCAAGATAATGTGAGTTGATGATATTTAATAATAATAATGGTATATTCAGTTCTGAGCCATTACCAATGACCTATGTGTAAAATGAAAGGCACCTAAAAAGAGGGATGAAGTATTTATTATATAATTAACTTTGCACAGAATCCAAGCTATAAAAGACACTATTCATTGCCTACAGAAGATTTCCTCTTGAACTGCCTCATGATAATCAAGAAGGACATTGTTGGGTCTACTTGAATTTCAAGTCAGGAATGTTCTTTACTGCTGAAGCAAGCATTTCTATTTCAGAAATGCTTCATGGGCTTTCAGATGGTTAGCTAAATATACTTGGCATTCGAGGATGTGTGCATTTCCCAACAATTGCATTAGACGATGCTTACATATGCACACACTAAAATGCAACTCCGTTTTAAGAGTCATAAGATCTTTAAATGTGATGCCTCTTTTTGAAGGATTAGAAAAAAATGTAACTGAGTTGAATTTTTTTTCAAGCACATGCACACGAGGAAAGGAACACTTAATTACAGATGTTTAAAAATTATTAAGGTTATAATAATATTTATTCATATTTACATAACTCACAAATGCCCTGCACATTTCTGTTAAGTGGCATGATAATGATAGCCAGATATAGCGGAATGAAACACAACTTAAAAAAGTAAAGCAAACATTTTCTCTGTTTTGAATAATCACAAAATATCATGTGCCATGGTCTAGAAATGCAACCATCAGCAAGCACTTTCTGATCCGACTCTCATAGTAAGAATTGGCCACCTAAATAAATATCACAGAAAGCAATGATAATTCTACTTTCAATCTTTTATTATTGAATTATCTTCTTGTAATAAGTATAGCACATGAACAGCAAAGAATACCAGCTCCTGTTTGGACTCACTCAGAATCTTTTATTGTTCTGGGCATGTAAGTACCCAGTGCTCTCTGCATTTACTTCTTACACAAGAGCAAGGAAATTTAATTAAATATACACTGATACAATATGGATTGAGATGGGGAAATTGAAACTCTCATCTAAGAGGAGAGATTGTCTTTCAATTACCTGTCTTTTAAGCTATTTTATGGCACGGATAATGGAGTGATGACAGTGATCAGGAAACAAAATAATGATGGGTCTTTCTTTCTTTCTTTTTTTCTTTCTTTCTTTCTTTCTAACTAACTAACTCTAAAAATAGGATAGGCAATTTAATAGGTGATGGTTATAAATTTCTTTCTTTAATTGGTCTTTTTAACCAATTAAATAATTGAATAGAATTAGTATAGAATATAGTATAAGAGAAAGTTTTCCAAAGGACAAGTGTCTTTTTATTTTTTTTTAACATTTATTTACTTTTAAGGCAGAAAGAGAGCACAAACTGGGGATGGGCAGAGAGAGAGGGAGACACAGAATCCTAAACAGGCTCCAGGCTCTGATCTGTCAGCACAGAGCACAGAGCCCCACACGGAACCTGAACCCAAGGACTGCAAGACCATGACCTGAGCTGAAGGTGGCTGCCCAACCAACTGAGCCATCCAGGCAATCCATTCAAAGGACAAGTGTCGTGAAGGATAATTTTTTAAGTTGAGAAGAGGTTATTATATATAAAAAAAGGACTATTCCAGGAACTAAGAACATCCTTAACAAAAGAATCAGGTAGAAATAATTAACGTAACCCAGTGAAGGGAGCCAGATAAATAGGATAAAGATAAAACGAAAGTAAGATTATCAGATTATGCATGTCATCAAGAATCAAAATGAAGACATTCCCATCTGCTTTTGAAAGTCAAGGTTATGAGGGGGGAGAAAGAGAGGGAGAGAGATAGAGGGACTACTTTATATTACAGGGAAGAGGTCATCTTCACAGCAGCATTCTCAAAGATGATACATCATAAAGAAAATAGGAACATAGATTAAAGTTTCATAAAAATAAAATTTGGATTGGAAAAAAAGAAAAAGTGACATAAAGGAAGATAATTCAGAATTTAGTCAGTCTACATGTTTAAGAGTATGCATTATATATATTAATATTTATAATTTTATATATTTTAATATTGTAATTATAATATTCTAAGTCTGGAAGGATTTAGGGAAAGAATAATTACTAATGTCCTCTTTGCAACTGACTAGGCAGTGACTAGGGGAAAATTCTTTGCTTATTGTAATGGAGGCAGAAATAGAACTAAAAAAATGTGGAAGATCAGAAAGTATGGAGTAGATGTGTGTTCTTTGCATCCTAAATGTAGTGAAAAGACACTAAATCAGATCAATACTTAGGAGTAGAAGGACTGAGGTTTTACTTCTAGTTTTTTAAAGGAAACTGGTACCTCACATCCCTTACTGGATACAAATGAGAATTAACTATTAGAATAAAGGTTATAGAAAACAAAAGAAAAAATTCATTCTCTTCCTTATTTTCCTTGTTTTATCTTTAAATTTTATCAACTTTCAGGGTTCTGAGAAATAGCTACAGGAAAAAAATAGCTCATGCACTTAGACTTATGAAATGGACATAAATGTGCAAATTTATAGTGGTATTTCTAAAACCATGTTGAAATTGAGGAATTAATCTATAGGAATTTAACCGCAAAACCAAAAGCACACTGTATACACTGTATGTTAGTTAACTTGACCAAAAATTATATTAAAATAAAAAGGGAAAAAAAGGAAAAATAAATTAGAAAACTGAAAAAAATCCATTTGAATCCCAAAGACCAAAAAAAAAAAAGCAATTAATCATCTAAAGCAATCAAATGCAGGCTTTGAATTATCTGCCTGTGAATGTTCTCATTTTTCAAAAGCCATGCAAACTAGCTCAGAAGACTGAGGCTAGGATCCATGAATTCTGGGCAACAAAATCTATACACACACTGAATGAGATTTTAAAAAGTACAATCTTTATATTTTGTTCCAATCTAATGAAAGCATTTTGCAGCGATTATGGGGGCTACACTAAAGTATTTCATTAATAGCAACCAACCACATCATGACCATAGAAGGGTTACCAAGATTGCAATGGAAATATTGGGCAAACCTACCTTTTATAAAGAAGGATAGCTATGACAATGCAGATGATAAAAACCACTGCAAGGACAGGACCTACAACCCAGATCAAGCCTTCTTCTTCATCTGTGATTGGCTGTGGATCCAGATCCATTGACACAACAGGATCAGAGTAGGGACTGGTTGCATACATCTTCTGAGGAAAAACAGAGTCTATTGTTACTTATAAACTAATGGCTTGCTAGTGTGTATCTTTAGCTTTAGAAAAAGCAAAAATTCAAAACTTAGTGGATTTGATGTTAAGTGTGCAAAATTATGTCATTAAGAAAAGGAGGGAGGGAAAGGAATGATAGAAGAGTTGGGAGATAAGGGGGGGAAGAGGAAAAAGCAAAGAGGTCTTGCAACCTAAATTTCCTTGTAGAGTGAAGTAATTTATAATAAAGTCATTTTTGATGGTTCAAATTAGTCTGTAGACACATTGGGATCTGTGGATGGCATATGAAATGATCTTATCCAGTATAAAGTACCAGTAATTAACCAGTCATAATATGTTCAGTAAGCATTTACATTAGGCCACGGTATTACGTACTGCGTGAAAATCAACAGAAATATTATGGTCCCAGCACAAAGAGATTATCACCCAGTCAAGGAGACCAAATTTAAAAAGTAAACATTTACAGGGAAAATGTCAGTATTTCAGGAAGGAGAAATGGAGACTTGTAAGTGAAAGGATACACAGCCTCAGTTATAAGGAGCTCTGAGGACATAATGTATTGGAAGTCGCTGAGAGTAAATATTAAGTATTCCTCATAACACACACACACACACACACACACACACACACACACACAGAGTTAACTATGTGAGATGATAGATATGCTTATTATCTTGCTCTTGGCAATCATCACACAATATATATGTGTATCAAAACATCATGTACACTTTAAACATATACAATTGTATATTTCAATTTTTCCTCAATGAAATTGGGAAAAATAAATATATAGTTACTTGCTGAAGGAATTGATTTTGTTTTTATAGCAACCTATTTTGTTCTGTCCCATTTCAAGGCTCTCTTTTAGAACAGTATTCTCTTGACTGAGCCTTCTTTAACACTCCCTTCACTGGTTCTCTTAATTTTGTACTCAATTGGTCCCATACTAATCTTGCCAACTGATCATGTCCTGCTGAGCTGACCACCTCTGAATCCATCCTGTGCTGGCATGCTGAAGTTTTATTTTCTGCTAATCTTTCTCTCCCTTATCTGGCAAGGCCATTATTAGCTTTAACTACCAACTTCTATGAAGATTACTTTTTGATTAATGTTCCTAAACTCAGTAACTCTGCTAAGTCCCAGACCTTCATTTCCAATTATTTTGAGAGATTTCTACATCTCCTACATCTACCTGCAAGATAAGAATTGCATGTGTTATCCCCCTGCTTCCTAGATATACCCTCCTTCTAAATTGCTAATTTTTCTCACCCTCTTGATATCTAGGAATGAAAAGTACTGATTTTATCTTGCCAATGACACTCTAGGTCAATCTACCCTCTTTCCAATCTCATGGGTACCATTTTCTTCAGGACCTCATTCATGCCCACCCAAACCAGAGCAAGTGTTTCTTCCTTCCTCTAACAGTCTCTACCGCTGCTAGAGTTATTATCGTAAACTGCAGGTGTTAAACCTTCAGGAGGCTCTCTGGTGATTCCTAAATAAAACCTAGCCATTCTGGCATGGATCTTAAGATCCTCCATATTTTGTTTTAAACTTCTGTACCACATACAACATTTTCCATCACAGTGAGCTTCATGCTACTATTCGCTAGTGGCTCTATTCTCTGTCTTTTACCCTCTGACAAGTTCCACAACATTTATCTCCTGAAATCCAACTATTCTCCAAGGCTCCACTTAACTATGGCCTTCAGTGATGCTAACTGTCCTTAACTGGAAATAACCAATCATTTCACAAACTATAGGTAAAAACAATTTTAAAAATTTTAGGTAGTCCTTTATTTCTTTTATTTATCCTTTATTCCTTTTGTAATGGTATTCATCAAACTCTATTTTCTTTTTTGTGCATATGCCTTATTTTCTTTAATGAAATTATAAACTCCTGGAAGTTAGGGATTTATATACGATTTGTGTTTACACACTTAAATCAGCTAGCACAAAACTTTGCACTTAGTGAGTTCCCAGCAAATCTCTGTCAAATAAAATAAAATGTTCATCCTTTCAAATGGCTGACATTATCAAGACATGAGAGAATAGTCTAATTTTTCCATGATTAGGAAATATATTTAATTTTTAATCTTCATTTAAAAATTGATTTAGGACATATATTCTGAATTGAAGTACAACAAAATTAGTCAATCTGGAGGGCATACACCCCACTAAATGCTTGTGTATTGTTCTTTTTTTTCCATTTTCCTCACTGTTCTTAGGAAGGAGATTGACTATATTTCCAGAGTTTCTAATGTGTCAAAAGACAAAAATTCAATGCATTTCCAACCTTCTCAGAAGCAGCTTAAGAAAAATATATGTATAGTGTAAGGACTTGGCCAAGACACTAAATATTGAAGATACATGATTCTTTATATAATTGCTTGTTTTGGTTTATACTTTCCCCTTTCTATTTTGTAGGTCACATTCAAGCTGTTTGGCAGACAAAAGTAAACAAAACTCTGTGATTTCAAATTCTTTACCAAGAGCCTTTGAGGTAATCATCTTGGTCAGCCAAGATACAAATCTAAGCAGAGGTTTTCCTAAAGTGCACAGATTTCCAACCTAAATGAGGATATAGAGCCATATGAAAAAGAAAAGAAGAGAAAAGAAAAGAAAAAAGGAAACCATAAAAAGACTAGCCTGATGAAAAGCAGAATTTGTTCAAAGCATGGAGGTAATAGTCTTTGGTCATTCTAAACCAGTCCTCTGATCAATTCTCAATATGAGGCCAAAAGAGACTGGGGAAAGCTCATGTTGTAGAGAGTGGATATTTTCTCTATGAAAATTATCAGCGCACCCTGGGAATGGTTAGGTGCTTAACAACAACTAGTCCATAAAAATTTGAGGCTTACAAAGTGACTAAATCACTGAGAACATGATACTAGTTGAACGAGTCTTTTCTACATAGTAGACATAGTGCATAAAGAGCAATGTTGAGAAAGATGTTGGAGAAAAAGGGGCAATTTACATAATGTATTTGGAAACAGACCTAATGAAACAGTGCAATGACATACTAAGGGAAGGGGTAAACTCTTTGTCCCTGGTAATGGATTTAAACACTAGAAATACCTGGGAGAATTAAAACCTGAATTTCTAACAGTGGTGTCATCAGCCTGCAGGGTCTGCTGAGGTTTCTCTTCTTTGCCGAATTCTGTGATCTGCCTCAATGGTCTGAATGGGCTTTCTGAAACATCTTAGAGCTATTTAAAGAAAATTACTTCAAATATCTAAAAGTCATTAAGAACAAGAAAGAAAAAGATGGTTTCTAACATTCTATTCCCTTGATGTTCTGCCTTAAAACCTTCAACTGAAAAGAGAAAGCATATCCGTGCATTAAAATTCCAGGGAGCCCGTCACTTTGTTTTCAAATGACATTCTGTGCACAAAGGTAAACCAGGCAGAAAGGCTGCCTTTGTGTTTTGATTTTCCATGGGGGAATTCCTTCAGCCATTTGAAGAGAAGCCCCATTGCATGTGCTAACACCTGATGTGCAGAAATCTTTGATACATCTCAGGCTTCTTATATACAGGTAGTGAATGGCCCCACTGAGCTACCACACCTGTCAGTTTTAGGCCCTTTTTAGATAGATACAGTTAGAAAATGTATATTAAATGTTAATGTGAACCTGCCACTACAAAATCCACCCCCCTTCACATCTACAATTTGTCTTCCTCTCTCTTCTTCTCTCTCTCTTTCAACATTCACAGCAACTGAAGCATAAAACGACATAAGAGCAAGATGAATTACATAAAAGAAGACAACTCATTATTTAGAGTACCTTAGAAATTCTGTTTTATTGAATTATTTTCTAACATTCTTGGCTTTTCCCTGATAAAATCATTGGTAAATTGCTCTAATTAAAGAAGCTGGCTTGTCTTTTCCTAGACAAGGAATCCCTGTGAATCCAGGGAGAGATTATGGGCTCACTGGCAGTTACAGGAGAATAAAATAAAATCACCTTCAATCAATATTGAGGCAATATTTCCAATACTTGGAAATATAGAGTATGTTTTACTGTGGAACTTCATAGTTCCTCTGTAATCAAATGAGCTGAGAACAGTCATTTTGAAAGGATGAGGAAGGAGACTTTTAGCAGTTAAGGCTAACAGACTTCTATCTACATGTGTCACACTCATGGTTTCAAGAACCATGTCCTATCAATTCATTACTTCATATATCAAAAACTCCACCTAAATTCCATGTCATGAGACACAGCCTTGTTTATAATGAAATCCCAAGCAGATTACTCAGCAATATTTAAATAGTAGGCAGCCTGTTGCTTCATTTGAATTAATAGTAGCTCACAAGAATTAATAAGGATGGATATATCTACATATCCCCCAAGTAGCCATATTCTGGTGAAAATATATAAGAGTACCAAAGGAAAGAGATGCCAGCACAATTAACTTACAGACTCTGCATGTTCCATCACTGCTAACACAAAGAAGACATATTCTTGACCACTCTGGAGTTGCTTGTTTGTAAATCCACCATAATGTTTGTCATCCCCCAGGGTGAACTCAGTGGGAAGGACATCAAAGTGAGCAGCAATATATGGCTTTAATTCAACTTCTCTCCCATAACGGATGCTTCTGCGTTTCCTAGATATCTCTTTAAGCAGCTTAAGGAAAAAAAGTGGGAAACAGAAAAAGAAATGTAAACAATAATAACCTAACTGTTTAATGGGAAAAAATAATTCAGGACTGGGAATAACTTGAATATAATTTGTCTACATTTCATGTACTATGACAGCATCACTAAATCTCAGCTTCATCTTTCAAATGTTTGTCTTGCTGTTAAAGTAACATGTTAGATTGCTATTGTAAAACCCGGGCCATAGACACAAGGCAATGAGACCCTTCACTGGTAGCGCATATTATTGTACACTCTAATGATGGAAACTTCTCAAAGGGCAAGAGTGTTCAAGTAAAAAAAAAAAAAAAAAAAGCCTGTTATACAGGCTTTATTAACAGGCTATATTATTGTTATTTATTAAACAAATAGTAACCTCAGATAAAGCCCTCAAATATGATCAATTTTTGGAGAGGTTAGTATCATCTTAGTAATGAGAACATTTATATGATACAAATTCCCTTAAATCATGGGAAATAGAATCCGATGACCAAGTTTTAACTGACGTATATTAAATACACATTATCACTCATTTAACAATTTATGGCTTGATGACTTCTTGAATGTGTATTTCAGTTACAATTCCTCACATTTATCATGACATTATCTTTTCTGGGGCTGATAGCTCTCTGGGGAGGTTGAATTATCCTCCCAGATGATATAGGCAGGATAGATAAACATTAAATTTAGTGTTACCCTGAAGAAAACAAACACACACATGCACACAAAAATCTTTCAAGTATCTTTAAAAGAAAAAAAAAGGAGAAATTATGTTTTGATATTTATATTTTGCATTTACCCTTTTATTAGAAAATCATGTTAATGATATTTTATGACTTTTTGACAAGTGATATCAAAGTTAGCTTTGTCTTCTTCCATTAAATATTGGTATTTCACAGGGCTTAATGGGGAAAATTGTTTACAGCAGTCTGTGATGCCTTTTTGGAATGAAACTTGTCTTCAGCTTCATAAATAAAATCAAGGTACTAATGGAAACATTATGGCAAAAATATTTGCTACTCTTGTTTTTATAAATGGGAATGATAGAGAAAAAAAACCAAAGTAGTGATATCTGCTTAGCAAAAGGAGACCCTGTCACTATCAAGGCCAGGCTTCTGTGATAATAATGGTGGCAGACTCCACACATGGCAAACATCAAATCCTTAGGTTAGAGACCTGACAGTGCCCTATGTAAGAGTTGTAAATGTGCTCAGCTGATAAATATGTGACATAAAAATGTGAAAACTCTCTTGGTTATATAGATAATCTGTGCCAAAGCTATTTTTTAATTTATTATGCGCTAATAGTTTCTTTAGATATGAACTCATTGATACAATTAAAATTACATGATATGTAAGCTCTTTTATGAAAACCACAATAGACTGGGTGTCACTTGTTGGGCAAATTTGGACTCTCTGATGATAAGTTCAGATGGGCGGATCAATTATGCGCCAATGAAGTAGTAATAAAACAAGGTCAGAAACAGCACTATCTTTCAATCCTGTTGTCAATTTTAGGTTTACTTATAATAATGCTAATGACAATGATGGCTAATATTTATTAAGTACTTACTTGGTGCCAAGCACTGTTCTCAGAAGCCTAAATATTTATTAGCTCATTTGCTCCTTATAATAAACTTTATAAAGCAGGTTACTATCATATCCCCATTTTATAAATGAGGAAACTGAGGCATAATAGAAAGTGGCAATATGTAATTGGATCGACTGGTGAAATAAAATGAAATTACATGTAAAGGATTCTTTTCAACTATAGTTTTGTTCCCTTAATGGTTTCACAGTATCAAGAAAACACAAATGCAACAATTAAGCTAAATTGATAACCTAAATTGTTTTAATTCAGTCTTTACTTCAATGTATGTAACTTTTGTGAATCTGCTCTTAATGCAGATGAATATGTACTTAGTTACCTTTTCCTGGATTCTCTTAACATGTTATTTAAAAAAAAATTCTAATGCCAGATATTTAATAGTATACTGGAAGAGTATAATATTAAGAAGGTTATTATTGATATGCAGCAAATGATGGACTATTACTTTAAGAAGGACAAATGTACTGCAGATGAGATGAACAGATTTTTGAAGCTGGTTAATCTGAAACATTTACCAACAGTGTTTATGTGACTGTGTCCCCTCTTCCACTTCACTGATCAAACCCTACCTTTATTTTATTCATATTTCAGAGGTATGAAACTGTCATAATTCATCCGTATCACTGTCATCCCCTTGAGCACCTTTTGCTGAGTTTTTTTAAGAAGACTTATAAAGAGCACTTTAGTATAAAATATTTGGGTTTTTGGTGCTCCTTAGATCCAATGCAGCCATTCATTAAGGTCAAACATGGAATATCAACTCTGCCCCTGTAGGTTGCTCTACTCTCTGCAGGACGCTTCCTGTGTTATGCTTTAAATTGGTCAAGTGTGCTCAGATGACACCAAAGTTATCCAGTATGTTGAAGTTACAACCACAAATGACTACATTATTTAGAAGCAAGCCTTTGAAGTACAATGCAATGAAAAGCTTATGATATATTATAAGTCCTGCCCTGAATTAAATATAACCAATATTTTATGAGTCATTCTGTCCAAAATTCAGTTTGACTATCAATGTCTGCTCTGCCCAGTCTGACCTTGACAACAGAAGTTCCAGTACATGAATTTATTATGTGGAGATTATCCCCAGACAAAGGATAAATGAGCTTAGAAGATAATATTGAGAGTCTGTTTAGGAAGCCTCTTTCCATTTTTTATGGGCCTAGATGTGAGGCATACATGTGGAAATCCCCTTAGGCCACCATTCTATTCGATGATACAGTTTCAATGATTTGAATTATAGGCCTTTCTTAAAAAATCACTTGGTCAAATACATTTAAGAGAGGAACACTGCTTTGTCAAAGCTGGCAGTACCAAGCTATAGATAAAATTACAACAATGCTTTTATTATCCATGATGGGGGGGGGGGGAATGTCTGTAGGGATCAGAAACTGGATGAGTAAGCATAAAGTGAGGCCATAGCCTACTTTCATTTGTTCCCCTACAGAAGAGTTACAAAATGTATTGGAGGTAATTCTGGAAGACATATCAAGGGCTTTAGTTTTTTATCAGAAATAATTTTCATTTTCCAGTCAATGCATATCTTATTTCTTCCACCATTAATTCTACAATGTGGTCTCAATTATATCAGTAAGAAAAGTGGGAAACAACCCATCCTGACCCCAAAATTTTGAATTAATAAATGTTCTTTATCAAACTATTATACAGATTAATGCACCACAACTTGTGGGATGATTAAAATGACCCTTTGTTATGGGAATCAGCAGCACAGACCCATAGAATTTAATTGCAGGAAAGTTCAATGTCATATAGCTCTATACTTTAATCCATTAGCATTGCTGTGCATTTTGGAGGTTAAAACCTGGCTATAAAAGAGAATCAGCTTCCTATTACTAGAAAATGGTTTTACTTCTAAGGAAAGCTTATTATTTAAAAGTATTGGACATCATTTTTGGATTGGATCTTAATTCCTTGATAACTTTTATTTTTCTAAACAGGAAGATAGGTTCATAGATTCTACAAGTTATCTCTGCATTTTAAATCCAGTTCCAACTGAATTCAGTAATTTATTAGAGAGATGATTAAAATAATAAGGAATAACAATATAGTAATAATAATCTCCAGATTGACGGATAGTTGCAAGTAAAAGCATGCCTTGCTTCAAAATGTTTAGAAAATACCAACTGACATTTTGCATATTCTCTAACATAGAAAAACAATTTTGTTCCTTCCTTTCCAACATAAAAAAATTTATAATGTAAATTACTTGACATTATTGAAATGGTAACTCATTTTACACCCCTTCAATGCTATCTAATCATTAAATAGTGACATAAAAGCATAGTCCTAACCTTGAACTCATCTCCCCTTAGAACTTGATCAAGTTTAATTCAGATAAATGAAGTAGGTGATGATGAACCACATGTTTAGAGAGGACATATGTCTGCCAAAAGAAGCTAACAGCCTTTATCAGGTCACAGCCTCCTCAGTACAGACATACATAAAATACATCACTTCCCTGTAATGCAGCTAAGGAATTTCTGTTTTCTCTTGCTCTATTTGCACTAATTCAAGGTAGAGAAAATACCTTGGAAATAACAGGTTGGGGTAAAGATGTGGCCTTTACTGTAAATAAACCCAACAAATGAAAATCTCATTATGTCCGCAAGTGGAGGCCTTTTAATTTGCCTTCTGAAGTGATTCAAACCCACATCATGTTAAAATAGCAGTCTTTCCTGTATTTGACTGAATTGCAGTCATTAACTTGCTTGGCTTTCTGCAAATATGGCTTACCACTTCTGATCACAGTTTTCCCGTCTAAAAAGAATTATGTAATATTAGGTATGCAATAATTTCCAAAAGAAAAAAACCAAAAACCAAAAACAAATGGTCTTGTTGCAAAAAGAGCACTAATTAAAATCTACCTATTGTTGTTGTAAGATTTCAGAAATTAAAATCATACTATTTAGTGTTTCTTCTGTTTTTTTGTTCTATATTTCTTGCGTGGCTCAAAATTTTGTGATGTGTTTTGTGTGCCCCTGTAGTTAAATGCATTTTGGACTCTGAAACCCTACAGAATATAGAATAAAGCAAACATATGCTAATCAGCATAATTCTGTGAGAAAGCAGTCTAGAAAGCATAGTAGGTCAAATGTTGAACTCTGGTACATATTGCAATTTAGCATTCATAATAGCTTCAGCTATCACTGCACTAATGAAGCAGACCTTGGAATTCATAACAATGATGATTAAGTCTTTGCTGACAATTCACTTTACCTTTCACACCTTGCATGATGTTTTACAAGGGGCAGGGGGCAAAATATTAAAGCCAACAAAGATTAGACAGGTTGTAAGTTTTATTACAGCTAAATGTCTTTTAATTAAAGCAAAAAGTTCTTTCTTGGGATCCCTGAAGGTTGTCAGGCCCATAGCACTCCATCATCCAGGCAACCAGCTGACCAGCCAGCCATACAAAAGTCAGCACCTGGATTAGACTTGCTTCCATATAGAGGAAGAGGATGTTTGATAAGTTAAATAAGTAATGAAAGACACAACCAACAAATGCATAGTTACCTCATCTAATTCCATTTCATCTGGACTCTCCCATGGCTTGATAAATTTCCCACGAGATTTCTTCAAAGGCACAATTATTATGTAGTACCCTCTACACAAGAATGGACAGAAAAAAATAAGGTTAGTTCAAAGGGAAAAGAAAATGGATATGTCCTTAAATCTTCCACACACCAGTGATTGAGAATGAAGGCAAATTATGGATATGGAGAGACTTGTCCATCAATGAGAAATAACCACCTGTTTGTTCAATTTTAAAAACAACATGGGTAGACATTTATGCGTGACTTCAATGATCTTGTATGGTAATATCACCATGGTTGACTGCTCTTTATTAGGTATCATAAACAGAGCAGAAACTGTTAGGACCCTGGTGCTGGACACATGCAAGGCTGATATACTGAAATCCAGCATCGTAAGCTGCTGAACCAAGTATTTTCTATGACATCTACAATTTAGAAGATAATTTTTAAAAAACAAAATGTATAATAAAAATTACTTTTAATTCATACAAACGCCTAGATGATGACGACGATGATTTTGTTTATACAAGCTTCAAATATTTTTTATTCGGCTACGGAATTAAAAGCATAAGAATGACCCATAATTTCATAACAGTTATATAAGGATGTAATTATTTTCTACCCATCAAATCGCAAACGTTATGGTAAATACTGAAGAATTTGCAGACAATCACTACCTGAGGTCCCTCAAAATAGATCTCAAAGGACAAAAGTAACCGAGTACTCACATTAAGAATAGTCAACCACAATTTAAGTAACATATAAAGGTATCTGTTAAGAAATAGATATGGGCTATTTGAAAAGTTTTTTTTAAAAATGTTTTTATTTATTTCTAGGAGAGAGAGAGAGAGAGAGACAGCGTGAGCAGGGGAGGGTCAGAGAGAGAGGGAGTCACAGACTGAAACAGGCTCCAGGCTCTGAGCTGGCAGTCAGCACAGAGCCCGATGCGGGGCTCGAACCCACGAACCACAAGATCATGACCTAAGCGAAAGTCGGACACTTAACCGACTAAGCCACCCAGGCGCCCCTGAAAAGTTGTTTTTTAACTTCCACAAAATGTATACCCTGCTCTGGTATTAATGGTTAATGACTCTGAATATACTGATCTTTAGTAGTAACTATATAAGGAGTATAAACATAGGTATGTAATAATAGTTAACATCAATTACTTCCTACATCTCAAGTATTATATTAAATGTATAATATAGTTTTGTTCTCTCAAAAATTGCATAAGGACAGGCAAGAGACAAAAAAAGTAAATCCAGAGAGATTAAATTGTGACCCAAGTTAAAATAGCAAGGGAATACAAACATATATATATGTGTATATATATACACACACACATATATACATATATTTTAATGTTTATTCATTTTTGAGAGACAGAGAGAGATAGAGTATGAGCAGGGGAGGGGCAGAAAGAGAGGGAGACACAGAATCCTAAGCAGGCTCCAGGCTCTGAGCTGTCAACACAGAACCCTACGTGGGGCTTGAACTCACGAACTGTGAGATCATGACCTGAGCCGAAGTCAGACGCTTAACCCACTGAGGCACCCAGGTGCCCCAAACCTATATATATCTTAGCCTTGGCAACAGTCTGGCTCTTTCTTTCTTTCATTTACTTTGTATTATAAAGTACTTTTTAAGGACTCCATTATTTTGTGGAGATTTATTGTGAAAATGAACATACACATACACACACTTTTATTTATTTTTATTTCTTATATTTTAAAGTTTATTTATTTTGAGAGAGAGAAAGAGAGCACACAAACAGTGGAGAAGGAGAGAGAGAGAGAGACAGAGAGAGAGACAGAGAGAGAGAAAGACAGAGAGAGAGAATCCTAAGCAGTCACTGTCAGTACAGAGATCTGTACTGTGAGATCATGACCTGAGCCAAAACCAAGAGTTGGATGCTTACCCGAATGAGCCACCCAGGTGCCCCTACACACACACTTCTAGAAGAGAAGACTGTCACACAGAGAAAGGCACTGCAGGATAGGCACTAGGGACTTTGGCTTACATTATATTACAGAGACCAACAGTACACTTAGGAAGGCCTCTTTCTACTTGTATCAAACAAAACCTGCATTAAACTCAGTAAAAGCTGGTGATAAAGAACTCTGTTTCCATAAACACAGGCTAGAGCTGCACTATCCAACAGGGGGGCCACTAGCCCTTTGTGGCTATCGAGCACCCGAAATGTGGCTAGTCTCAGCTGAAATGTGTTCAAAGTGTTAAAGACACTGCATTTTGAAGACTTAGTATGAAAAATAAATGCAAAATATCACAACAATAAATTGTTAATAGTGACCATATGTTAAATGATAATATTCTGGGTATGGTAGGTAAAATAAAATGATATTAAATTTAATTTTACCCATTTCTTTGTACTTTTTGCTATATAAGATTTAAAATTTCTGGTGTGCCTTTCATAATATTGAACAGTGCTATTTTAGAGTGTTTTGGTGAAGAATATGGCATCTAGAAACATATCTGGCCCAGAATTTAAGCTCTGTCACTAATTTGCTGTGTGATCTTGGGCTGATCATTTAACATCCCTGAATTCTCTGAAAAAGGAGAGCCCAATGTGTGATAATGGCACCAAGCTGATGCAAGCTACAATTGTTAGTACAGACCATCATGGTAGGAGAGATGCATCTGAACGATGTTATTCAATAGGAGTCAGTGACAATTCCCTGAGATGCAAGTTAAAGAACTTGTTAAACATTTTTTTTTCTCTCCCCAATCAAGAATTCAGGTCACATCAGACAACTATGGTGCTCTCAGCAACTCATCAGTAGTCTCCCAGAATCACATCACCTAGCCAATCATTTTCTCTCCTACCAATAATCATGATGATTTGGTGGGGGGAGGGGGAGAAGGAAGAGCTGGAGTGTATGAAAAAGGCCAGTATCTTGTACTTTATGATCCAGAGTAAGCTTCCTCCCCTACCTATCCTCCCACCACCTGAAGGATTTGCCAAACAAGTCCATCATGTTAAATGAGCCTGGAGAAGAATGACAGGGGCTGCAAGTGAGCATGCAGAATAACACTGCAGATGTACTTGATAAACTCACTCGTCAGGGAACTTCTTGCTTTTCACTACCAGTTGTACTAAGTCAGGACAGCTTCTCTTCACCTAAAGTAATGATACTTACACCTTATCAGAGAGCTCCCACTGTCGTCATTCAGAATCTTGTAAATCAAGGTTAAGATGATGAATTCTATTAATTGTTATCCTGCTTTCATACTTGAATTGCTCTTCTTGTACAGGAAAAAATAATCTTCCCTTTTCTTCTGCAGTATTCCCCAACTAAGTGTTTAACTTGGAGCTGGGATAAGAATTGAACAGCCTCCCCCATAGCAAATAATTAACACTGTGGCTGTATATGCATGCCTTTTCTGTCTCCTGATGTCCAAGGCATTCATCTAGAGCAGTCAAGGTGGAGCGGCTTCAAAGCAGCTCTTACTCATTGAAAGAAATGTGACCTAGGGAATTTGGAACTCCATATTATAAGAAAGTGTTGCTTAGGACTAAATCCACGCATTTCAGCTGTGTTCTCTGCAAACATGGCTTTGTAAACACCCATATGTCTTTGCTTTTCCTGAAACCTGGTTTTCCCCTGACAATCCTGCTACCCTCACAGGCTTCTCATGTGGTGGCTGTTTATTCATGCCCCTCCTCCACCCTGGAACCTCAGATGTAGGGCCTAGGGTTTCCCTCCTGGCTCACTGGTGCTTATCACAGGCATTTTCCCCCTCCACTCTTTCGCTAACAATAAAAGCAAGCAAAAAGACAAGTGCCTCTTTTTTTGAAGCTCATATATTTCAGCTATATTATTCTCTTTTCTCACTGATTTTTGCCATTTACAAAACTCTTCAGAATTCTTTCTTTCCTCTCTCTCTTTCTCTTAACCTCTGTCACCCTGCCACCAGGGTCTTTCTTCTCTCCCATGTTCTGTCATCATCTTGGGCGATTTCAATTGCCAGAGGGCTGGCCCATGCACCACCCAGTGCTCTAAGACCTTTGACTCTTTTTCTAGATCCTGTTTCTTCCACTCTACATTAGCTAAAATCTACAATTGCCTTTCTTTATGCCTGAACACAAGGAATAGCATAAGCTTGAGAAATAATGCATGGGGAGAATGATTCCATAAATTCATATTCAGCAAACTCAGGCTTTCAATGCTGCCTAGCCATTCCACCCAAACCCCTCTAATGGCCTCATCCTTCCATTTTGTACAAGGTTTTTAAACTTTCTCCCTTGGCCTCAAAACTTCGACATCCTTACCTCCTCCCCCCATCCCCCAGAAGATGACTTATATCTAAGTAAAGAGAAACTATAAGCATTCAGACTAAAATTCTCTCATCTTCAATATACTGAAATGCAAGGCTACCCACATCTGAACATAAACCATAATCTGTCCTTTGGGCACAGTAGAGGGGGTGGCTCCATTTGTTAAGGCCAATCATTTTCTTGAATTGGTTCCCATCATCCAGTCCCTTAGGAAGTTGACTATACATTGTACCTCTTATCTCTCATGTACCAACTTCTCCCTCCCCTTTGGATTCTATTAGCTTCCAACCACATCCCACTCTAGTCAACTCTCTCACTCTGTCATACCCTCACTACACAAATTCTGAGGAGACCTGTGTTCTCCATTACCTTGTCTCCCACTTACTCTGTAGCCAACTGTATACTAGCTTCTGCCTCATTAGTCTATTTCATTGTCCAAGCCAGGGTCCTCAGTGACCTTGGTAGTACTGTATCAAATGAAGAGTTTTTGACTTTTGTCCTAGGGAATCTCTTAGCAGAATCTGAAAATGTTAACAAGACCCTCCATGAAACATTCTCAGCCATTTCTCTGTATCCAATTCTCCTGCTTTTCTGCTTACATCTCTCACCATACTAACCTTATTTCCTAAACAGAATTTATTATCCACTACCCAGCTATTAAGTAATGGAATCTCTCAAGATCTGGTCAAGGATTTTTCTTTACTCCTTCTTCATACATTTCTCAGCACATCAGTTATGACCTAGGTGCAAATTATCTGCAGATTCTTATCTTCA